TTTTTTTTTCTTTTTTTTTCCCCTTGGTAAATATTTAAGTTTGGCAAGTATTTTGCATGCATGGAAGGATAGATGTGGACAATTTACCAGTGAATGGTGACGTTATAACGAGCTCGGTTAACAACATTGACGACTAGACTGTCACCATTTTGCACTTCGAGTGTCGGTCCTGGGAACATCCCGTTTACTGTTATGGTGCTTCGAGTTTTGCACAGCCTCTTCACCGGAGTTGCTTGCACCTGTTTCACAACGGTAGCAAGGATAAATAAGAACCGAGAAAATGCAAGATATGATTAGAGGAATATTCGAAAGGGACACAGACCACAAACGTATGAGAGTGAACTTCTGCATTTGTTATCGGCATTGTGCTCGTGAAGAGCAGCAAGGCAGATAAGACGAAGAAAAAGGTGGTATTCTTAAAGCCCTTCATCTTGGTTCGAGTCTTTTTCTTAGTTTCTTTTTTCTTTTTGGCAAAACTATATATGAATTGAGTTGTGTTTTGCTTTGCTTTGCTTTGCTTTGTGGGAGACTAATGGAGAAAGGGGAGTTGTTTATATAGTGAAGAATTGGAGAGTGGGGTTTTGAGGTTGGCAGATTAGGTTCTGATAGTGATAAAGTTTTAGAGGGCAAAACTTAGTTCAACCCTATTAGAGTTGTTGCACCCACTAGTTGATCAAAATCAAGAAAAAAAATTCCCCACTTAAATGCTTAATTTCTAAGTCAGTAATTATCTTGAGGTTTTCACATTAAGACTTGTTTTTCGTCTGCATTATTCTGTGTCTTGAATTGTGATGTGAGGTTAATCATTGTAGTTACTTGTCTCCAACTTTTTCTATCACTATTTGGATTTTATTTTTTTTAACTATTTATTTGATTAGACGTTTGAACTTACGAAATTATTTTGTTAATGCGACATTAACTTTAATCTCTCTGACAAACATGAATGGGTAATATAAAGTTATATATAATACATACACACGTTGTGGTTTTCTCATTGAGGATTTCACATTAATGACTTGTCTTTCATGTGCATGATTATGTGCTTTGAATTGCGATGCGAGCAGTGAGGATAATAATCATTATTCTAAGTTTTGTTGTCTTCAATTTTTCTACGTGGTATAGTTATTTTATTTTGACGTCTCCAAAATCCAAATTTCCCACCAAAATACAAGAAATTGCATGGCAAAAATTAAAAATGCAATATGGACTATAAAAAGCGGATTTATCCAATAATCATTATTCTAAGTTTTGTTGTCTTCAATTTTTCTACGTGGTATAGTTATTTTATTTTGACGTCTCCAAAATCCAAATTTCCCACCAAAATACAAGAAATTGCATGGCAAAAATTAAAAATGCAATATGGACTATAAAAAGCGGATTTATCCATTTTTATACCGTAATCAGAAAACCCGTTCTGATTTTCTAGCTAACTTCTTGAAGTTAGGAAGTGAAAAAAAGAGACACATCTTTTATATGTTTATTAAATGGACTCTTTTATATGTTTATTNATGATCAATAAAAAAAAAATCATAAATAAATCATTCATAAATGAGTCATATAAATCAATGTCAGAAATAAATTGCATATCAACCATTTCTAAAAAGTGAAAATTAGTATACTTGCAATTTAATAAATTACATATCAACCATTTCTAAAATGTGAAAACAAGTATATTCGCAATTTTAAAAAAAAAATGTAAATGTGGCAAATTAAAAAAGGATTTGTAGGTGGATGGAGTAATTATCAATTAAAATTGCAATCAGTAAGTTGGACTTATTGGCAATTGAAAAAAAAAGGGATTCTAATCACTTATTTTGTCTTCGTTTTTCCTATTTGCTTGATTTAATTAAAATCGTCTTTCCAATACCATTAAAAAAATGTCTTTCTCATAAACGGAGACAAATGATTGTATATTGGACTTGTAATTAATAATTAATATATGCATGCAATAACGTAGACTTAATTGGAGATTGATTTTGGACAAAATATTGGAGGATAATAAAAAGGCATTTACTTTAATCATAATTAGGTTGAAATTGTATTAATCATCATGCAATATAGCTAGACTTCTAATTTGGTCTGCATCTAATATATATTACCACGCAATTCAGTTGAGAACCTCGCAGCGACAGGCTTAACTAAACCTTGAGTTAGGTAGCCTGTTCATTGGTCCAACAATCACCACATTTGTGATTTGTCCTTTGACAGTTTTCTTTTTATCTATTTTATTTTTTTTTTTTTTTTTTTTTATGTATTTTTCTATAGGCAATCTCATTTTTCATGTCAAATAATTAGAAATTAATCAAATAAAAGAGCGGAAGTGTACCTAAATTATTGTTTGAGAATTTTATATGTTCTTTAGTTTGTTATACTGGTGTGACTTCCTAACGATCGAAACTTATAGCAGATGTGTTATGTACTGTATTCTTTTTCTTGTACATCACATTTCCCGTATTATGTATATGTTTATATAAATTATATTGCACTGGTGCCTTTTAAGTTTTAAGGAAAAAAACATTTGTTCAGAAATATGTCGTTTATTTATGTTGTTTGGGGTCATTACCAAGTAAGTAATATTTTTAATTTTTAATTTGGTCCCTCAACAAACCAACAGTCTCATAATGGTATCTACACTTTCAAATCGATAATAATTTGATCTTTTTTTTTTCAAAATCATAAAATATATCACTTTAATATAATTAATTTTACCATAATTATACACATATAATTTACATATGTTTCTAAGTAAAAAATTTCTAACATTTCCATCTTAGTTTTACGTTAGTTTAAAGTTTGGTGTTTAGTTTTACGTTAGTTTAAAGTTTGGTGCTTGTGCTTATTCTCATTGAAGATTTGATGATATATAATAAAATTTCGACCAATGAAAAAATGAGATAAAAATTCTATTTAGAAATTCAATCTATATGCCAACATTACAAAAAACTTCTCACTGATTCTCAACAAAAATAAACAAAATATTTTATTGAAATTGGATTTACGTTGTAATGTCACTTCCCATCGGTATAACCCAACCCCATTTCTCGGAGGATTTTTTTCGTTCTGTTGAAAATTATCAATATCCAATATATCGTTATATGTTAAAATATATATTGAATTTTCCAGTGAATATTTTTCCCATAAATTTTTCATCAATATTTTGGTCTATTTCTTAAATTAATTTGGCTACATACAGATTATAGTGGATCAGAAACCGTTAATTAAGTCACTTGAAATGGAAGAAAATATGTGACTAATGATACTATTAAGATGATTGAGCAAGTAAGAATTGCATTCTAAAGTTGGTTAAGTTTGTTGCTGACTTTGCTTGATGGTTCTTGAAAATAATTACGAAAATGAAGTGAATTCGGTGAAACTGAGTTTGTTGACCAACAGTGGAAAAAATGAAATATCAACATTGACTTAAAATTAATGTAATTTGTCAAGGGCAGCAGGAAGCAACATAGAATTTGCCCTGGAAATGATTAGCCTTCAAACGACTTTTTTACTTATGGTTAACAAACTCTTGTATGAGATATCCTAATCAGTAGACGGTCGATCTGTTATGCCTTTATAATAAAAATATATATTTATTGTAAAAATTAGCATAATTAATGAAAAACATAATTTATTGTAAAAAAATGAGCATAGTTAAAGAATATTCTTTGAAATTATTGTAAAAAAATGAGCATAATTAATGAAAAAAATGAGCATAGTTAAAGACTATTCTTTGAAATTATTGTAAACAAATATTAAAAAAAAATGAAATATAGCACAAAAAAGAGAAGAGCTTTCTTACTCTGCAATCAAGGTGCATAACTAAACTACCATTATCTATTGACCTTCCATAATTTATTAGACTTTCAGTTTGGTACTTGAGCAAAGTCAGCAAATGCAGTAGGGTCTGCACATGGAAATTGATCCAAAATCTTGTTGCATTTACCACTAAAATCACTCAAATGCTTTATGCGAGTCTCGGAACACTGGAAATCGCTTATCACTAGCTAGCATTTTTTCCCTAGCATCGGCCCTATTGTGAGATTGATTTTCACTATCGCTTATTACTAGCCAGCATTTATTCCCGAGCATTGCAGAAATTCTATGGTGCCCATATGGGCACCATATGGTGCCATAATTTCACGATCGAACGCCTAATATCCATTGTGGGGGCACCATAAAATTTCTGCGAGCATTGGCCCTATTGTGGGATTGATTTCTATTATGCATAACACGCGTGCATTCATTCTCGATCATGTCGAGGGGATGATCCCATTCTTGGTTTTACAGGTTTTTAAGAAGGTCATTAGGGTCGATCTTGATTGCAACTCGTTTAAATAGGTGTGAAATGGGGCGAGTGAAGACTAATTACACATTTTCATTTGCTCGGGAACACATTGAATCCCTTGCGCATGTTTGATTATAGGTTTATACTATTACTATCGCTTGTGACGCCAATTATTAAGTACTTTGTTTGAGAACCCTTGCTACATAGACTTTTAAGTGTAGTGTATAATAAGTGTTTGATGGTTGTTTGAGTGATAATTTGATAAATCATCCATTTTGAAGAATGGATGATATGAAGTTGTCCATTGTAAAAATGTGAAGTCCACTTATTGACTGGACTTTTGTAAAGGAACTCTTAAACAAACAATGAATTATTATGCAACTAACGAAGAGAGCAGTTCTTTACTGATTGTGCTTATTAACTTGTGTTCAATATTATCTTTATTGTGATTGTATTCTCATTGCTTACAAAGCTTGTTGATTTACAGGTAAGCAATAATAATAGTCCCTTCTGTTCTGCTTTGCTGTGAATGTTTGTAATTTAAGCATCAGATTTTTGAGATGTCATCAATGTAAAAAGAAAGCCATAACCACATGCTCAAGAATCAATGGTGCAACCCTATACCACAAGTGATTTGCAGCTGAAGGTGCTGCTCGAAAAGAGAAAAAGGCAACATCAATTTCTTTGTAATTTAAGCATCAGAATTTTAGATCTCATCAATGGAAAGACAGCTACAACCACATTCTCAAGAATCAAAGGTAAAATTCTACGAAAACAAGAGATTTGCAGCTAAAAGTGCTTATTGAAAAGAAGAACAAGGCAATATCAAACGAATTGTAAGTGTGGAAATAAAATATCTGCTGGGAAATCAAGCACTTGAGGATAATAAGATTAAAAACCATATTGCGAAACATTCAACAAAGGATCTACATTCAGAACAAATCAAGATAAGGACTGATAAAATGTACCAAAATGCGATAAAACACGCACATTCTCTTTCTCTCTTTCAATATTTCAATGGGGACGACGAGTAATACAATCGAATCGAACTAATCTCAATCAAATCCGAAAAAACCTAGCTAAAATCGTGTACCTTACTGGTTGAATCCCATTCCAGCCGACCGGATCCGACCAGATCTGAATCACACGCGCCCCGCAACTGCGGGAGCAGCGGCCGCGGCGGCGGAGGAGGCGGCGCCGCCAAGGAACGAGAGGAATCCGGAACCGATCGGCTCCTGCTCATCCAGAAACAGGTCCTCCGGCATGCGGAAGGCGCCGTGGGCGCACACCACAGCGAGGCCGGCCAGCAGGGCGGAGATGAGCAGCGACCCCACGCTGGTGAGAAACACCACGACTACCGTGGACACCACCAGAATTCCCAGCATCTCCCGATCCGAGAAGGCGCGGCCCGCCACCACCACCGGCTGGTCGGATGGGCGGAAGGCGTATAGGAAGAGCCAGGCGCCGAGGAGGGCGAGGAGGAGGAGGAGGGAGAAGGGGTGGGAGAGGAGGGAGAAGGAGATGGAGAGGGCGAGGAGAGAGAGGTAGTTAACGCGGAAGTAGGAGAAGTTGCGGCGGATGCGGGAGGCGGCCTCGGCGAGGGA